GAATGGGCTGACCTTGTAATGAATGATGATGATGCTCTGACTTCTAACTGGAACGACATCATGTTAGATACTAGCATTGCTGATGCCGAGCCAAAGGTCAGTTTTGTTCTGTACCAACTGCTGGATTTTTATTCATCTTAATTTGCTTTTTGCTTTCTTAATCTCCTTTCAATAATTAAAAAGGAGACGGCTCTTACATTTCTTTGTTGTGTGATTAAAGATGCAATATCAGGAACAAAAACAACCGTCAAATTTCCCAGTACACCAAGGCCAACCATTGCAGCAAATTCCTACTGCATCTGTAGAAACATCTGCCATTGTTCCTGCATCATCCACTGCAAGTGGTGCTTCATCAAAGCAACGAATGCGTTGGACACCCGAACTTCATGAAGCGTTTGTGGAAGCAGTCAACAAACTTGGTGGAAGTGAAAGTACTTCGCTCTCCTTAGTTTGCATATTAAATAAGTATTGGAGTGTTGTTTAGCTCGATAATTCTACTTTGAAATACAGGAGCTACTCCCAAGGGTGTGCTGAAGTTAATGAAGGTTGAAGGTTTGACCATCTATCACGTAAAAAGCCATTTGCAGGTTTGTTCTGCTCTTCGCATTTTCAAAGTTAGATACTTTCACATATAGACATGCTGTATTATTTAACTGATGGAGTTTTGATACAATTTCTTATAATGCAGAAATATCGAACAGCTAGATATAAACCAGAAGCATCAGAGGGTATGCAGCTATTTCTTTTTCCCTTGTGTTTTTTACATGTGTCTTAATTTTGTCTCTGTTCTCAAAAGTCGTTAAAAAAAATTGAGTTTTAGGGCCTGCTTATTTGTTACTCGAGCCAGTAGATGTCTAATTTTTTGTTTTGTTTTTGTAATTAAAAATTTTTGTTTCTTCTTTTCTTATAAAAACTGTGTTTCTTTTGTGTGTATATGTGTGCATTATTTTTATGCTATGTGGAGTTATTGGTTTTTTTTGGTGCTGTTTCATAGATCATCATTGAATCACAAGAGGTAAATGAAAGTATATGTTGAATACACTGACACTTCTCAATCTTCTTCTTTTTTGCATAGTAGCAGATGATGAAGATAAGATTTTAGATAGTAAAGATCAACAATTTGTCATTTGTATGGTGATTGCCTTTTGTGTAGATAGGAGCTTTTTTTGTTTTGTTTTTAGTTCATGCTAAATATGCAAGCTATGGTTCACAGAATCTCACCGGATGAAACCTATGTTAGGTTTATGTTACTTGAACAAGAAAACCACACTGACAATATTGACCTTCTCTCTCTCCCCTTCCGTCCCTCCGTCCCCCCTCCTGAAAATGGAGCTGAGATTTCGGGATTTATATTTAGTGCTTTCTTTGTTTAATATGCTTATAGCTTTGACTAAATGTTTCTTAATTTGTGCCTTTCTCCTATAAACAAATAA